TGGGTGTTCATAATATCTTACTCTTAGAGGCTTTCACTGCCTATGACTTTCCCAAATACAAATGTGGTAAGAAATAAACATCTGCATAGAAGGATATATAAATAATACAGATACATGCACCAAATATCTATTTTTAAATTATTTGTATCAGATTAGAAAGCTGCTAATATATTTAGCCACATTCAGTTGGAAGTGACAATCATCATAGATAAATCAAGCAAATGATATATTCATGCATTCATCAATTCACTACTGATAATTGACAGCATGTCAGTGATCACAGATATAGATATAGACATGCTAGACAAATGATCTTGGCCTATGTGTACATGATCTTATCATCTGTGACAATCACCCTCAACTTTTGGTACCAATGACTGATTTTTTTGAAAGACAATTTTCCACACACAAAGTAAGAGGTCAGGATGAATTAAGTGTTCTATTACTATGATACACTTTACTCCTGTTATTATCATATGGACCGTATATTGGAGTAATTATACAACTCACCATAATGCAAAACCAGTGAGAGCTGTGGGTTTGTTTCCTTGCAAATTGGCGGTACCATCTCAGAGATAATGACATTTGAAATGTGCTGCTTCTGTTTAGTCTACTCTGTAATCTTGTTTTATTTGTTATCACTGAAAAAAAAAAAAAAACAAAAACAAAAAAACAAAAAAAACCCCTGCTTCACCAGGATAGAATGCTTGAAATGAGGTAGATTTTTCAGTGCTTATGTGGCAATTTTAGATTTCTCTGTTTTGGTTTTAGCCTAGAACATAAAAAGATCTGAAGTTGTCTTAAATACTTTAATGAGGGTCATCATTGTTTGGCATTTTGAACACTCGATTCTTTAATAGAAAGCAAAGAGTTGAGTAATCAGGTTACTCAAGATGGGTCACTGATGCATTTCTTCCCAGAACTGGGGTCATTTGTTTTGGGAACTAATTCTCAAGTTCCTTGGAAAGTTAAGATAGGTGATCATGCCGGGAGAAAAAAGACACAGACTTGGTGTCTGTCAAACTGACAGCTAGTGTCTGATACACCAAAAGTCCCAGTGATGAATCATGGCCTCATGATTCTAATTTAACTTTGAATGCAGCCACTTTATGTGCTCATTTGAACACAGTTGTTTTTCTCTGCTGAAGTAGGAGATGGAACTTGCTGAGCAGGTTGAATATGTCATTTATTCTGTGTCTTTTTTATAGTTAAGTTTTAGTATAATTTAGATAGACATCATCAGAAATTTGCACCTGTTCATGTGACCATTTTTTGTCACTGATATATTGCCAATGGTGACTGTTTTTTTTTTTTTTTTTTTTTTCCTGCTTGCAGCATTGTAAGAAGAAATGTCAGTTTAGGGGACATTCTGTAATGTAGTAATAATTTTAATTTAATTTTATAAAATAATAAATTCAATTTCATCCTTAGACTAACCAGGTTTTTTTTTATGAATACAGAATACAGACTCACAGTCAGAAGCAATCTTGCTGACCTAAGAAGTGAAAACAGAAGGCGGTCCATTTATATCAGGCCCTCTGTCCATGTGTATACTGACACAGAATGACCAATCCAGTTTTCCTGATATGGAATTTTACAAAGACTTGAACACTTCTACAGTCATTTTGGGTTGGCAGGAAAGTACACATAGCATAAATTCACAATCCTCAAAAATATATTTCATATAGTAGCAATGTAGGTTTTTTTGTCTTTATAGGTAGGTTCATCAACCTGAATTTTCTTTCATAGTGGCTCATTAATTTCCTCTAACATTAGTGCCTTAATATCCTCTACTATTTTATGACTTCCTCTAGCCATGGCGTAAGCTGAAAGAGGAAGAAATGCCACATTTGAGCTAAAAATTCCTTTAAAATTTTGTGAAAAATGGTTTTAGCAGCAGGCAAGACCAACTATTCACCGATAATGAAAGCCTTCTCAGCTCAGATATACCATTCACCACTAAGAATTATAGATCTAGTGAGAAATATTGATTACCTAGTAGACTTCAATAGTTGCTTCTATTCTTTGTATTCATGTTGCTTTTTTTTCTTTTGACAAAATTCTAGATGTTTGTAAGTTAAAATAGCTAAAATAACCAAAGCAGTTTTGAAATTTTCATGACCTTGTTGAATAGTTGATCCCTGCATGTTACACAGCTGGCTTGGAGAAGCGAATCCCCTGTTGCGTTGAACCTGCAATTTAAGGAAGACTTTCGTCATTTCTTTCTAAATGCAGCTTTCTTACTGTGCGAAGCCTTAGAGTCTTTTGCTATCTCATCATTGGTTCTATCCCCCTTTTCAAAACAGCTCTCCAGCGAGTTTTGTTTTTTATTCATTTTGTGTACATTTGGCTACTAGGTTTACTAAAACTGTGACTGAGACATGGACACTGTGCAAGAAAGAAATGTGGGTGAAAGTTAAGGCTAAAATAACACGTGGGTCATGTTTGTACTAAAACAGGTGTTAGACTCCAATTTAGAGCTGGCCACCAGGTGGAGGTGTACAATTGAATCACATGAGCTCACTTGCTACGCTAAAGTCTGCCCACAAAGGCTGCACATAACTTGTCACTCACTGAAAATTTTTGCATGACGGTCTCCACGTAAACCACCATGCTGGTGTCAATCTGCACTTTTAGCCACTTTAGCATCGCCACTGACTTCCTATCATTAGGGATTAGATTTTCATAAGAAACACGTAACATTGATTCCTTGCCTGTGTAATTCACAAGGCATTTCATGCTCCCATGACACTAAAACACAACCACTGTGTGAAAGGAAGGAGAACTCAGACAGTAAAGCAGGCGATGGCGACAGCTTACATACAGATGACACATCACTCACCTCCGGCAGACGGCCTGATAACATGGACCAGGGCTGTGAACCGGCCTGCCTACGAGACAGGGATGCGAATTTGTTTGAATGCAAGGCAATGTGAACACAAACAAACAGACTGACAAGCCAAACATGACAACCAGGGAGAAAAGGTATCCTCCAATCATTCAGCTTGGAGGATTTTGTTTTATTTTCTGGAAAGATTTGAGATGTTTCTTCATGAACGTCCCAGGATGAATGAAGATAAATTTAAAAATAAAGTATGGAAGTGTGTCTAAAGACACAGTGTTGTTAATCAAGTGAGCATATTTGGGAATAAGTGATGGAGTCAGGGAATTTGAAATATGTGGTGTATTGAGTTCAGTCAGGTTAAATGTTTTTTTTTTTTCTTTTTAATAATAGTTTACATGGTAGTTAAGAATATGTTGACTAGAATTAAACCTAAGTAGCTTCCAAGATGAGAGACACTGAAATTTCATGAAACTTAGACATTGAAGAGATACTTTATTTGTAGATTGTAATAATCACAGTAGATTCCTTATATGATTGTTGAGAATGAAATGAACAAGATAATAATGTTAATAAGTTTAACAACATGCTGACATATAATCCATACTATGTTTACCGTTGGATGTTAATGACATTATTTCATATGGTATATATTATATATCTTGGGACTTAATTTAAGAAAATAAGAAATCTTCAAATTTTGCATTTAATATTCTGTACTGTTTTCAAATATTTGAACTAATTTTTAAAATTCTCAATCACCAGAGCAATTAAGGAAACATTATAAAACATGAAACAAAAGTAATTAAATATTTTCTAAAAATGCATTATCTTTGACTGAGAAGCATCCCCCTGCCACACCTTAATAAATTACTAATTTAAAATGAAGCCAGGTTCATATAATTTTTAATCAGCAAAGGGTTTTATTTTAAAAATATTTGAAAGTGCACCTCTAAAGCATACAAATCAAGCCACATCCTTATTTACCGATTCAGCTCTGTTTTCAATTCCTTTTTCCCTTTTTGACATCAGTTTCTCAGCAAGATAGTTACTGTAGTTATGGTTCCTGTACAGCACAACAATCTTAATACATAAACCCATATACATAGACAGAAATTCAAAAGTAACTACTGTGCCACAGCATGAGGAGCAGCCATTTACAGCAGAATGCTGCACATCAATCTCTTTCTAAATACCTAAAACCAGCAGGCACTCTGTGCAGAAACTCTCCTCAGACCTCCAGTGCCTTGGTTCCCGCTCACCTCTACCTCCTCGTTATCTTCTAGTACGGTGGGTTATGCATCAACGCCCTTAATATCTTTTTTGATTTTAAATCAGGTAACCGAGTTCTAATTTACTAATGATTTCTGAATGCTTTTTTATTTATGGTTTGGGGCTATTTGCATGGCAGTCATTTAGCAAATTAATGCAGATGAAAAGCAATAATTTTACAGATGTTTATTGCAATCATGCTGTCATGCCATACTTAAAATGCTAATCTATTGACTTCTGTTCATTAGAGACAAACTCTGCCTACTTCGCAGCATTAGTATTTTATAACCTGGGGTTTTAGAGTCGGCTGAACTTCAGGATTTTAAGTATCCTGTTCAAAATTTAATTTTACAGAATAAATGCTTTTTATTTCTTATTGCTTTAGAAATACCCTTCCTCTGACATTATATAATCTTTGAGTCTTTGCATTCATGCAAGCACTAGCATAGGGAAGGTGTTTCTATTAATTTTATGTTTTAAGTGGCATAATTAAGACACACAGCTTCAGACAAATAGTCCCTCTATTGAATGACAAAGTCTTCAGAAAAATCCAAAGTCAAATGTTTTAAAAGACAAAAATGTAGTAGGACAAAGCATTGGACTAGAATTAAAACTTAATGTTACTAGCATTTTTGTCCTAATTGAAGTCTTCTGTACAAATCAGATTTGTTCTCCCTAGTATTTTTTTCGCTATTATCAAAGGTCTCAATACTCTTGGTAAACATGACAGCCTTGCTGGATCGTAAGCAAATTCCTGGGTTCATCATACAAGCCCAACACAAGGATGGCTTGTTTTGGAGACCTGGATATGGATTCACGAGGAAGATGGTTTTCACTTCTCAAAATGGCTGTGCTTGGCACCTGTGTGTGTGTGTGTGTGTGTGTGTGTGTGTGTGTGTGTGTGTGTCTTAACTTATGGACTAAAACCTAATGGACAGATGTGAAAGATAAACTGTCTTTTGCAACCTGGAGCTCATTGTTCAGCATGAGTTTTGACACACTTAAGACGGTATTGCTGATAGGTGCAGCGCTGCCAGCTTCTAATCCTGGCACTCCTGAGGGACGATGAATGAAGCCTGGACTGCGTAGTGAGACTCTGCCTAGGAAAACGAATCAAAACCAAAAAATTATGATGATCTAGTAAGGTTAAAGTGCTGGCATAAACCATTTTTTAAAAATGGTTGTGCAATGTGAGAATCTAAAAACTTAATAAATGAAAGGCTTTATATATATGGGAAAAAGATTTCATACATTTCATTTTCATACATAATTTGTAAAATGTAAACATCTCGAAATGCACTTTTCATTTTCAAAACATATTTTCTAATATTAAAAATGACACAGAACTTTTATAAACACACATAAATAATGCATTTTGTATTAGGCCAGTCACATTTAATGTATGTAATAAAAATTATATATTTATGCATATATAATATATAGTATAATATATAAATTATGTGTGCATTTAGAACTATATAAAATAAGAATATATTTCAGCTAGCACTCCTTAAGTGCTCTACACAAGTTATTAAATTTATGTACTTTTCTCAACATATACAATAAACTCAGATTATTTTTAAATGTGTGCTTTTTCTTGCATTATTAAGTCAAGTTATCTTGAGTTTGGCTGTTGTTGTGTAACTATGTGAATAGGTATTTAAAATGACGGATTAAACAGATAAATTTATGTGAATAAAATTTTAATTGTTAAGTAAAACATTCATACATTGATCTTTATGATCATCTGAATATCACCTAAAACTAATGTTAGCATTTAATGGCATTTTGATAGTCATTATAATCAAATTTCTACACTAACAGAGAACTATTCATACATACATTTTTTTTCTAACCAATCTTCCTGAACATTTGTATGTTACATGGCCCCAACCCACCAGACCATAGCAATTCTATATTAAACTGAAGTTAAACCCAAGGTTATTTACAAACCTGTTTTTTTTTTTTTTTTTTATGCTTTCAGTCACATCCCCATTACTCTTTAACCACAGCCTCAGACTGAGAAAGATTTCCTGCAAATGCTCAAAGCACATGAAAAAGTTTACAAATAGCAACACCTGAACCATTTCATATACTGCTTCATGTGTTAGACTGTCCAAAATTATGCTTTGTTAATTAGGTGCAAGAATTTTGGCAATTTATTTGACACGTGCCATTTTGGTCTTATCGGTGACAAAGTAGAACAATAAAACTTAAATGGACCATGAGGCAAAAATTTCATCATATGCTGTCAATATGTCACTGTCCTTCTCCATCCTCCTCTTCTCTTTCTTTCTTTCTTTCTTTCTTTCTTTCTTTCTTTCTTTCTTTCTTTCTTTTCTTTCTTCTCTCTCTCTCTTTCTCCCTTTCTCTCTCTCTCTCTCTCTCTCTCTCTCTCTCTCTCTCTCTCTCTCTCTCCCTCTCTCTCTCCCCCCCTTCTCTCTCCCCACACTGTTACACTAGCATAGTTCAAGTTGGCCCAGTCATTTTTCCATGGTAAAGATCGTTCTTCTTCATATCTTGAATATCAACAATGAATACATACAAACATTTCTTCTCTGAAATAACTATGTTATATGATGCTAGCTGCTCTTTGGCATGCCTTCTTTCTCATCCCAGTTCAGTCTCCAATGTGCAGTTTCATCAAATATTCTGTTTTGCCCTTTCAAGATTTGGCCCATTTCTTTTTTGACAACTACTCTTATGGTTTTAAATATCATAATATGCCAGTAGACTCATCCTAAAGCTAGCCTACATTCTGCATCCAACATACAATTTTAATATCTTCTTTTACAACAAAGGCGTTTCCACAGTGACACATAAAATTGAGAATCTTCAAAATATTCCTCCTTCCATCTATTCAAGGAAAAAATGAAAGAAAGAAGCAAAGCAAAGAAGAAATGATAAAAGGAAACATGTAAGAAAGAGGAAAGCAAGGAAGGAATAAAAGGATCTTTGAGTCACTCTCCACTTTTTCTCCTTTCAGAAGAAGCAGGCAGCACCTCAATCCAGCTAGAAAACTGTCAGACGAGCACACTGGTGTCTGCTACGCCTGTAACGTCAGTCAGCAAGAATGCACATGCCATCGGCTCCTTCAATATTTTTGACTGAACACTATGAAGTTTACTGTCTCATTGAAGGCTATTGCTGTAGCTTCATACTTTATTTCTGTATCTTTTTTTTTTTTGTCTTTTTCATTTTTATCGGTACCAGGGATCGAACTCACAACTGTATCTTATAAACATACAAAAACAAACTCAAATATTCTGCTTAAAATGATGTAGACAACACAAATGCAACTGCACTGCTCTCTGTAGATCTCAAGACCATTCACAAATGTTCCCATCTTATCTTTCTTTCTCCTTTAGTTCAGAAAGATTTCATGTGAATTCTTGCTTACAACTGTATAGTTCTAGGCTTTGTTACATGTACTGATGAAAGTTTACAGTGGCAAGACTAAAGTAAAATAAGAGTAAAAATTTGGTTTACATAATTTTCTTCCCTAAGAAACTCCCATATTTTAATATGTCAGAGAGCTATGAAGTATGAATTAACATGTGGTTATATTTTATTGCAAATTGCTAGAACTTTTGTCATCACAGCTAAAGGCATTTATGAATAATAAGGAGCTCATAATTGTGCTTCTCTTTTAAAATTTAATGAATTAGAATGAGTTAATTCATTTTAACTCATTTCTTTTTTAATTAATCCTGAGAAATATATGAGAAATATGCCCATTTATTATGTCTAAGTTCTGTTTTCTTTTTCTGATTTTAAAGTAGTTGGAATATCATAATGAGCAAAACAACTAAATCTAAGCTACGTATTTACCCTAAAAGCACAATACCTGAAAATTAAACTTTATATATATACACACAAATGTTAAATGGCACTCAAGGTTTGAAAGTCCTATTATCAACATATGTCAATAGTTGAAGCAATTAGAATTTATAACCTAAACAAAAATAACTTTGGTACCATAAAAGGGAGTATAAACTTATATATATATATATATATATATATATATATATATATACACATATGCTAATTAATACTTATTAAGCATGTAAAACATGCTTTGCAATTAGTATTTAATTTTATTTTTCTCAGGTAGTGAAAATGAAACTCATTACTTTATAGTTTACTTTACAGTGGAGGAACTGATGATTAAAATGTGTATTCTAGCTCTGGAAAATTTGCATTTTAAACTCAGGGATTTAATAAGTCAGTATTTAAAAGCGTGTACTCTGGAACTAAAACACTTGTTTAAATTCTGGCTCCTGTGGTCTTTGCTTAAGCTATTGAGCCAAGTTTTTTCACCTATATAAAGAAGATTAAATATAAAGCTGAGGTCAGGGACCTTTGTGAGTATTAAAATATGTGAATAACATCAATGCTGACCCTAAATATATCGCCCATAAATCATTATTCTGTTAGATTTTAGTGCATCTCTCCTCTTCTTCTTCTTCTTAGTCAATATTTCATTCCTGAAAAAAATAAACATAAGTAAAAACATACAAAATAAATAATATAAAGACTAAATGTGTTCTAAGATATGAAGAGACTCAAAGAGCATAACAAAAAGTTTGAATTATGATTTAATTTGTGAAAAGTTAAATAAATGTGCACATACTTGGTTGAAAAATTAACATGGGAATTCTGAAGGTCACATTAGATAGTCCTTTCTTTTGGACTTAACAAAAAGTCACTGTGATTATTTTTCAGATTTGTATTCAATCACCAATAAATATATTTTAAAAGGAAATTATTCCTAAAATGTATTTACAAAAATCATAAAACTAATCTTTTCACTACACTTCAGTTTTAACTATTTATTTGTATCTTTCAGATGAGTGTATTTGAGAGCATACACAATCAAATGTGATATATAGTAAATATGAAGAAGTCAATGCTATTCTTATTCTGACTATGAAATATTTTATTCTTTCAAAATACAATATCACTTCAAATATAATAATAATAGGAGAATATTTACATTAAGAATTTTTATAACATTTGAAAAAATTATACCATTTTTGATAAATCAGAAATATATGTCGAGAGAGCTATGATGGCTTCGGAAAGTAAGAAGTTACCAGGAACCAGAGATTTAAAAATCTGAATAAATATATTCACTCTGCTTCTTCATTATGCTTCTGTCTGAGCATTTACATCTTTTCTCTTTCTCTGCATAACCGAAATCTGTAATTTTTATGAGGAAAGTGAGTAAAATGTAGGTTCTCCTAGATTTCAAACCTTAGATCTCACTACTTCTGCTAGCAACAGAGGGCTCATTCTCTACATGTCAAATCCAAAAGTGTCAGAGAAGAACTCCCTGGCTCACCTTGAGATCCTGCCATGCTGAATTTATAAAATTACCAAGGAAAATTTAACGAAGGGAAAGTTTATTTTTGCTCACAGTTTATCTCTTGTCCACTGTCGGCTAATTCCAAGAGAAGAAACAGTCCATACCATCGTAGGCAGGAAGCAGTAAGGCAAACAGCAGCAGAAAGCCACCTTCAATTGTGAGGTTTATCAAAACTGAAAAATTTGCATTGGAAATTTTGTTAACTAAACGAAAGGAATACAATCTAATGTTTTTTTTTTTAATTTAAATCCTAGATTATCATATGATAACTTCTGATAAGCAAATCAGTTATAAACTAATGTCTTAATAACTTTCATATAATTTGTTGATATAAAATTAGATCTCAGATGGGTTTCAAGAAAGGCTTACTTAATGTTTTTAGTTACATTTGGAAAAGAGAGTTAAAGTGTGTGATATAATTTAGCTTCACATAGAGAAATAAAAACCGTAGGTTAATAAAACTCAATGGATTGTATTGCGAAAACTTTGCTTTTGGTGCTCAAGAGCAGATCCATGTAGAGTAAATAGAAATGCAGAAACAGAGTAAGACTGCTGATGGTCTCTGCAGGACCTCTGCATGAAGAGTCTGAAACACAAAGGCGTAAACAGCAGGGCACTGTGGTACTATCCAAGGAATAAGATTGAA